ATACTTTATACTATTAATATCTTATGAGTATAATTATTATATGTATCATGAAAGTCAAAACTGTGGCGCTAAGTCAATAATAAATCAATAATATTTTATTAACAATGTCTGTACCGATAATGCAGTCTTTGGAACTGTTCCTGAAAATGAAAACTGAATAATATTATGTTGTAGAAACTAGCAAGGTCATAATAATATTGTAATAATTTATTAAAACAACGATTATGACATAATATGATTGTTTACTTTATTACGATTTACGATTATCGTCAAATGGCAGTCTGGCAGTCAGCGAATGTGCCGACTGAAAATCATAACTAGGTTTATAATAACGCTTATTATAAGCACGTATTCGTCCTTATTATACGTACAAATTATTCGTGCTAAATATAAGTACACAATTAATATAAAATATATACAATATTGCGTTAATATGTAAAAATAAAAATAAAATAAAAATATTTTAATATGTTAAAGTTAAGACATTCTATGATAATCTAATATTAATAATGTTATATACTCAATAATATTTATCGTTATCGGTGTTATTGTACTTATTCCCATTCCCCAACATCTTCGTCCTCGTCAATCGACAATCGATGTGCGCGCCACGCAACCAAAAGTAAAATACAATTTTATTTTTATAATAATATAAAGAAACTGCTGTATTTATAGATAAAAATTGCCGTCTTACATTAAAATGCATTAAAAAATATAATTTATTATTCTCTAGTATTATATAAATATAGAGTATAGTAGGTATATTTTACGAATATACGACAGCACAGTAAATTATAAATTAAAAATGACAATACAATAATATATTATTATTAATTATATTTAATTTTACAATATTAATGATCAGATACTATTCGTCTATATTTACATTTGCTGTGTGACGGTAGTGGGCCAGTGTTATTAGAAAAGATGTGTGGTAACTCAAATACGAAAAATAATTTCACACGTTAAAATAATCAAACACAATAATTATCAGTTAACAGAATTTTTTTAATTTAGTACCCAATTACAAATTGTTCTGTCTAACAATTACGCCAATTACTTAAAAAAATATGTTTTTAGTAGGTATTTAAATGTGAATATGTGATGACTTGAGGTTAAGCTGATAATTAGACTTGGGAAAATGCATGACATGTCCCCCCCCCCCATACTGCAAGGCCACAAATGACGCCACTAAGTAACACATGAATTGATGACAGATGTTGACTCCTGTCTTGGTTTTCTTAATAGTGACGTCATTATCAACAAATGTATAGCAACCATTTGCTTGTTGCTCACAGTGTTTCTTGCCACCAAGTGTTGAACACAAGAAACAATATTTGCTTATTTACTAAGTACAAGAAACGCATGTTTTCGTTGTGACATGTTGAAGCTTTTCAATTAAAATGGAAACAAATAATAACTGTTGGTTCTTGCGACTTATATGAACAGGACATATTGAAACATTTAGCAACTTTGTTGAAACTTAATACAAATTAAAAACACGTTGTAAAAACCGATGTTGTCACTTGTTTTGTTATCTTGGACGCCTGTCCAAATTATATTGTTGTGGATTAAAACCATTGATAAAAAAGAGAGAAAAAGGTTGATTTTATCATTCGGTTGAAAATTATTATTCTTTAATCATAATATATTTTAAACTATTTTTCGAATTTAATATATTTCGTCTTTTCGGGTGTGTAAACAGTGGGAGTGAGTGACACTGACACTTATCTTTAGGCATATTAATGCACAAATAAAACATTTCTAAAAAATTAGGGTAAAGTAGACGTTAACATAATGTGAATTCCTAGACTTGATATTGGTATCAAACAAGAACAATACATTTAGGACTTTTGGGTTCAGATATTGAAGAATAAATAAAATGATAAATAGTTATTCACTTATACATAATACTTATGGGAGCGTGTTATTATTATATTTTATTGACGTTTGATATTGACCATTAATTTACAATAATACATTATATTTCAATAATTGGCAGTTGCAATCATAGTTATCATTCACTAACCATGATCAACCGAAAAATGTAAGCTGTGGGCTAGAGCGTATCATGTATTAAGGAGTAATATTTAGGCAATTCACATGAATATACATTTTTGGGCTGCGTCGATGCGTGAGTGGTAGTAAATTAACCTTAAATCATATTATAACGGATGAAGCTCCTTTGATCAGTTACTGCGAGCAAACTTCTAGTACTCATGCGAATAGGAACAAGCTAATTGGAGTGATGGCGCTAAATAGTAATAATTTAAAATAAAATGTATACAATTACAATGTAGCTTACAATTTCAGTAGCAGTTTTAACATTTTATTCAATAAAATCCATGTAGGATGTAAGTATCGAGCAATATTCTAATATAATATTATACAATATATTAAAATTATTTGACTGTTATTTACAAAATACTAATGTAAAAAGGAGACACCATTAATACAATAATTGATAATTAATAATAAATAATAATATCTGTAATAGTCGTGACTATCCATATTTATAAAAAGAAATAGTATAAATGTATATTAATATATTATACAACATAATATTGTCTATAGTTATATCGAATATGATATTATTTGTGAAGGTTTGTACCAACAAAAAGAATAGTAAGTGTAATGTTTTAAAACTAATTGATATAATATTATAATGTGTTATGTGTATTATTGATTTTTAAATAAAATTAATTTCGTGAAATTTCTTCGGATACTTTTCCCTGAAATTGATAAGGTATGTTGTATGTACCGTCGCAAAATGACTGATTTAAGGGCAAATTATTAATTGTTAAATTAATTGTGATCTGTGATGATGGGATAGGATTTTTCATTAATTTAAGTGAATTAAATATGAATGGTTCAAAACAAACTTCGTTCAACGATTTAATGCACATAGCTTGGCTTGTATATTTTTGGTAATTATGCATTTAAATTACATATTCAGTTGCAAAACACATTTTCTATGCATATTTACAGATGCGTGTTTATTGATCAGTTTACCCTTATTTTAGTTTTTTAATTTTTAATAATAATAATGTGGTAACCATGTCTTCAGTTGTTAACTCTTTATAAAAAATTTTACAGATGTAATTTGTTTGCTTATTTTACAGAATATAAACCCACAGATGAATTTAAAATGTGTATTTAATACAGATACACAATAATATATACTAAAATAAAAGCTTAGAGTCTAAGCCTTAGACGCTTAATTACTGTAACTGTTTAAAAGTACCTACATTTTCCAAATAATTTTCTGAATAATATTTATACCAATTAAACATTGAAACCAGACATTCCGAAGTATGTGTATTGTGTAATTTAACACCGTTTATTGGTCTAAAAGGTATGAAACACATATAAAAATAGGTATGCTTAGATTCCCTTAGCCCGTTACCTAAATAACACAATATACCATAATAATAGTTGAATATATTTAACTACTCTGAAGTGAGTAAAGTGGGTTAGATGGGGTTATTAATGACTAGTGAAGTCGTTTGTCGCAAACAATATTAATATGTTGAGTTACAACTAACAAAAAAATTCTAAAAATCACACTTTTATACGGAATATGGAGTGTAATAGATTGCAGTTAGAACCAACTTTAAATTTTAATTATTGATACATTTTGCAGCTCCCCTTAAATGGTATGTGTATGGCAGCTAAATATGCATACTTTGGTAACCGGCACTAACTAGTAACTACGGCGCTCAATATTTTTTAAATGTTTTGAGCAGGGCTCCGAACTTCATGAATTTTCTAATATTTTTTTTCATTGAATTTTGACTAAATTTTTTTTTATACTTCTTATTACAATAGTTCAATATTATACAACAATTTATAAAATTATATAACAATTTGAAAAAACATCTTTTTGTTTTGTGTGTGCTCCTTATATCTTTAGTTTAGTTTTTCATATTCAAAATATTATTTGATGGAAATTTGTTTTATGACAGGCACGAAATACAAAAATTTATATTTCATAATATTTTTGAATATTTTAATAATTATATGTGATTATATATATTTAAAGATTTTGAGCATATTAATGCTTATTATATTTATAAATCAATCACAAACAGATTTTCAACAATATTTAAAATTATTATTTAGTTTTAAAATAAACAGCCAACTCACATCACTGTCACCTTGCGCATATTTGAAATTATACTAATAAACTAGGTGTCCCGGAGATTAATTGTGCATTTGTTATGATTGGTCCGGTTTTATTTAAACATTTTTAAAAACAGAAACACTTATTTTTATCAAAAGCTTTCACTGATTCCGTCGATGCCGAACGCCACCTTATATTTTCAGCACGTTTCACTACATACGTTAAAACAAATAAATTGAAAAAAAAGGATGTCCCGTAAATCAGAAATATACCTCAATTTACCATCATTCTTGACTCAATGAAAACAGTGAAGAAAAATCAAAATTCGTTTCAGGCTCTACGCGCTGTAGTATTGTAGTAAAGTACTATGTTGGGCGGAACTGCGGAAGCGTACAATCTCAAACTTTGTAAGAATATAACTACCGAAATAATGATTTGCACAATTTTTATTTTTTGTTTTTAAATTTTTGAAATATGTATGTTTCAAAAAAAAAAAAAAATGCTGGGTAGCTTAAGTTATTTTGATCCCTGGGACGAGTGAGACCTGATGTACTGATGTTTAATGAATTGGTTTTAAGGCTTAGGTTAAAAATGAATGGCTATGCTTTCACAAAAACTTATTGTAATGTAATTGTAATTGTAATTAATGTATATATCTTAGCTATAGTAGAACACAATACACTGTTCTATGCTCATACATAAACTACGTAGCACGATGTAGTTGACGGCAGAATCAAGATTTTCAAGAAGAAAAATTCTGTACGTATCAATAGGGAAACACTGAATAGTGAATAGTTACGTACCTACTCGTATCGAAGTCTGAGTCCGATACGGGTAGGTGCGTTTCGATTGATATTGCAAGTGTAACTTCTTGAACGCTCAAAATTGAACAGATACGTATCGAAACACTCCAATTTCTTCCTTGAAAATGTTTACGGGAGAATTTCGTTACTGTTCCACTGTGGTTCTATTCTGTCGTGATCGAACCATAGAACATCATTGTGTGATAACTGATAAGAAATAATTGTTTATCTTTCGTTACGTTGGGACTCGGGCTTTAAATGTTTGAAACCGCGGTGGTGATAACATTAATTGTAAAATTACATTTTTGATTTTTACTTTGAAGTCTGCTCATCGTTGTTTCTGTTCACTTTACGCAATCGGATTGTATAAAATATGCATTAGATAGTTACATTTATAATTGTGTATTCAATATTATGTTGATAAGTAACTCTGGTTTATCTTAGACCATGTTTTATTGAATTTTTTTCCGTCAATTTCGCTCCGTAGAAAGTAAGTTATTTTGACTTAAAATCATAATTGCATGCATGCTTGCTATTTAAACGTTTAATCACTCAATAGCGTTTAATGGAATCATTACGTATTAAAATCTCATGTGTTTGTGCACATGTCACTATGTCATATCTACGTCAATACATCTAATAATTTTTGTATTGCAAGTTCATAATATTTATGAATTGTAGTTTAAATAGGAATTTGGATTTAATGGAATTATAAAAAACTGTAATAATGTCTGGTGTAGGTATATGTATATATTTTAATAATCAAAGCTTGAAATGTACTTATCACTAGTATTTCCCGGGATTTTTGACATTGATATTTTGATATTAATAAATTGTATAAACTTCAAACAGGACTCTTTTTGTCCATTCTTAGAAGTTATTTTCATGTTATTATGAGAGCATATAAGTAAAAACCTGTATCTGCAGTATATAATAAATATAAAATAATATTTTTTATTGAAATCAATAAGTGAATAGTTTTAAGCAACAGTTTTTGTATATGAGTGTGGACTGCAAAGTGACAACAGTGAGACATGTCTTATTAGTGCATTGCGCTGTGTAATATTATGAATTTTCAAGAATGTTATCCTTTCCAATTACCCCTCATTTAACTATCAAAAATTATCTTCTTAATACTTCTAAAAATATAAAAATAAATTACAATTTTACATTTTAGAGGTAATATTTTTAGAGTTAATCCAAAATTGTTTATTCAGGTTTTTTTTTTTGTGATTGATTCTTTTGAACTAATTTGTGTTCTGAATAGAAATGAGATTAAGTTTTAAGTGAGTGAACAAAAAATTATTCATTCTTATAATCAGTGACAAATGGTTGTGTTAAACTAATTTCTGTATCGCAAAATGTATTGCTGTTCATCTGAAATATTTAGGTGTCTACTAAGCATTAAGCAGATTAAATTAATATAGTTATTCATCATAATTTGGTTTGTGATAACTATCAGTATTTTGTATTCTTTCATTGTCAAAATATTGTGTGTTTTTTTTCCACGGAAAAAGGTATTCATCATCTCAGAAATTTTTGTTTGTTTGATATATTCAAAAAATGTAATTAATTATAATGAACAAAGTTATGTAAGTAACTAAATATTTAATTTATACAATTATAATTTATCATTAATGTATTCATTTTAATATTAACAGACAAAGAAATATACAACTATGTCATCAAGCAATAATGATGCAGATTTAAAATCTAGACTGGCACAATTTGGTATACATAGTCCAATTACAAAGACAACTAGAGCTGTTCTGCATAAAAAACTTTTAAAATTAGAAATGGATTCTAAAAAGGAGCAAAAGAATGAATCGATTAAACTTGGCTGCGAATCAATGGTAAATATATTTCAATAGGTACTTATTAATAATTTAAAAATTTTAATTATATTAAAATTTATTATTTACTTAATTTTATACGAAATGGAATATACACAGATATTGTGTGAATATGACTTAAATGCCATTTTTGAATGTTTTCAAAACATGAGTTACTTATGTCATTAGTATTGTTGCCTATTTGCCTATATGCGCTAGGGTTTTTATGCACTAACTATACATTTGAGGTCTGTGGTTGAAATAATATGAGTGATGACGTATTGCGTATATTTTAAATAATAATATGGATAGACCTTATGCTACTAGACCTGTCTTTTGTACATTCAGCTCAGTCAGAGATGGCGGCAACTCACATTGCTGTACTATTATAATAGTGCAGTATATTATTTAAGTATTAATGTTTAATTAATTGGTTTTATGGCTTTGGTGTAAAAGGAATGACTAAGCTTTTATAAAAACTAAATTTTGTCTAATGAAAGTATGTTTTGCTAAACTATTGTTACTAAAAAAATCATTTGATATTCATGTTTTATAAATTTAATGAACATGTAGTTCAAAAAGTAATTTAATTAATATTCAGAGAAAAATCAAAATGTAATAATATTGATATCTAATTATATTTATTACTTACAAGATTTGGAGTCATGTGAAAGGTTTAAGTACATTTTAGAAATAAGATCAAAAAAACCAATGAAATATAATAAGAAAATGTGACTCAAGGTTTGCCAATGGACTGTGGTAGTCAAACTAGTTGGAATAATTTGCATACACCACCAATGGCACCAAACCGATTAGCTTTTGTTACCTATAGGTACCCTAATACTCTCTAATAGCATTAAATTTATTACATTAACACTGGGTGATCATAATGATGTATATATCCCATCTATAGAAGAACACAATACATTGTTCAATCATATGTTCACATAGTCATATATAATGTATAATATATAGTTAGAATTCCAAATATTAGTAGACCGTATTGGAAGGCAGCTAAGTGTGTTATTAATGACATTTTAATCCGTTTAAAATTAACTTTAATATTTGAAATTTAAGAATGTGGTTAATAATTATTAATTTTTATATTCACTGTTATGTAATATACATTGCTTATAGGACACTACAACAAATGACCTAAACGAGTATGAAATCCGTGATGGAATCTCCAAGTATGGATTAAAGCAAGTCCCATTGACCAATTCTACTTCTCCTGTAATAAGCAATATTATCAGAAAAAAAAGTGGAAATCCTTAAGAAACCTCTCACTAATTTCAAAATTTTTTTATTATATAATTAAGCTAGTACATGTTGTTAAGACAATGTATTAAATATATTTAAATCATATAAAAAAACTTTAATTTGTTATTATGAACATGAAATTGGAATATCTTATAAATCATATTTCTATAACAGATTAATTAAATTTGTTGAACATAACATTTGCATGATTGTATATTTGTGTATAAAATGTTACATTATGTATACCTACAGTTACATTATATACTGAAATTAAGAACTAAAAATTGAGAAAAAATTATATTAGCTTACATTTTGAATATCCATTCAAAATTAACTGCAGTTATTCTTAAATCGTGTGGCTGAATCTTATATTAAGAATACCAATGCATATTTATTAAGAATTATTTTTGTTCAATTTATTTACTATCTAGTAAAAGAAATATTTACCTGTTTATGTGCTCTTCAGAATAGGTAGAATTTCATACTTATCAAATATTCCTCATCAAAAGGCTATTGAAGTTTTTACTTTTAGCCTACCAAAATACCAACTAGAACCAATTTGTTACTAGAACCACTATAAAAGTAGACATTTTGCTATTCCATAAGGTCCCTAATGAAAATTACGCACAAAACAAAAAGCGAGTAAGTGGATGTCTTCCATATACTATGAATCAATCCTTATATAATTACTATAAGTTATAGTCTATAACCATTGAAGGTAAAGTAGGTACTAACCATTGGCATGTGCACAGGGTATGTGGGTTGTGCCCAGACACGCCCTATAATTTTTTATGGGCCAAACTCTATGCCTCAATCATATTCCCATATCATTGTAATAAATATGCTTAAATTACCAAATTCAATATTAGATAATATTTTTAAACCGAGTTTGGAAAAAATTGAATGATTCACTATGAAGGTAAAGTAGGTACCAACCATTGGCATGCGCACAGGGTATGTGGGTTGTGCCCAGACACGCCCTATAATTTTTTATGGGCCAAACTCTATGCCTCAATCATATTCCCATATCATTGTAATAAATATGCTTAAATTACCAAATTCAATATTAGATAATATTTTTAAACCGAGTTTGGAAAAAATTGAATGATTCACTATGTGTACTCTGTAGTTTAATATTGTGTGCCTATATATTGCAGGACTTTTAAAAGTTATTTATGAGACATTGTTGACTAGAAGGCCAATGATAATAATGTATTTGCACTACCTGCTTTTACAGTCTCTGCATGACGGGTACCAAACAAAATAATATTTACTAAAGTAAAAGCTTAGATGCTTAATTACTGTTACTGTTTAAAACTATCTACCTACAATAGAAGAATATTTTTCTGATTAATATTTATTCCTATATGTTTAATATTATAAATAGTTTCTTTATTCCAGTCAAAATTATTCATTATGGAGGTTGGAATTTCATGAAATTGTTTTCAAATTCATTAAATTCATGTTAATCTAGATGTAAATTTTGTTTTATTTTTATATTGTGTATTACTTTATATGTCATGGTTTCGATACTATACAATGCATATTTTTGGATTTTTAGAATTTAAATACTTATTTAAGCACATTTTAGAATTTATATTGACAAATTAATATAATAGTTAAAATAATATTATTGACATAATAAATTACATTTTTTTTTTGGTATTTATAAATTTACATTTTATTTTGTGTCAATCTAAATCATTTTAGATTTTAAATTATAGAATAGGAGGATTCTCCTGTTGAAACAACAAGTGTATGTGACATTAGTACACTATGTCATAAATGTACATATTGTACTTACTACATAGAAACGTTTATATCTTAGGCCCATTACTTGTATTCTTATATTTAATTTTGTGAATTCCATTGTTTATTTATTAATTTATTATTAGTACTATTGTAACAACTGGTTGTTACATTATTGTTTTTTTTTTATTTCTTTAAACCGTGATAAACATTTATATTATTTCTGATAAGCTTATACAACATTGGTGTGCTACCAGTCAATTTTCTTGAGAGGTAGGGATTATTTGTAACAAATTCGGGTACAAATTTCTTTTTTTTTTTTAGAGGGGGAGGGGGGGAAAGAAAAATGTTTATTTAATGTTATTCATTAGATTCATATAATACTTGTATATGACTTAAAAAAGTTGTGTGTGTTTATATAGTAATGTAAAAAAATCTCTTGAGGGGGAGAAATTTCCCTGTGGCCTTTTCCCATCCTCCATTTTGACGCTGGGCTGGGATCAATAATATTTATTTCTATATTCAGTTTGTACATAATCCACAGTTATATACCACAGTTAAATATGATTATAATTTACTTTAATGCCAAATAATATATACTTTTTACATGTCATGTTTATGTACATTCAAACAGTGGCATAGATGGAAAGCATAGTGGATTTTTGCTCAAATTTTTTTTTAACTTCCAATAATAATAAGTTATGATAAACTTTGTATTCAATCTTCAAGTTTTTTGATAAAGCGAAAAAATTTGGGCACAGGTCCAATGTGCGACCTACAACTGATAATTGACCTGTCCTTATCTTTGCCGGGCTAATGTGCGACCTACGTCCAATGTGTGTTTTTTCCTATATAACATGGGGAAATATATTTATTTTTGTGAAGAGAATAGAGATACAAACGTGATAATTGTAAACCGTTCGGCATTCAGTAACGGTCTCACTGTCTTTGTCGAATTACGTTATTGTGAGTTTTAGTAATTTTAAATACAGCGTTATAGTGATTTTAGTAAATTTGTGTTTTTTATTATGAGTGCTACATTAGGATACCTATATCGACATATTATACACGATGAAAAAATGTGTGTACAATTCTTGCAAGACCGAGAATTATTACCATCTCTAAATGAAAATAATAATCGTTGTACCAAAGTGAGAAACAACGAAGAGTGTGGTGGAATATTAAAGGAATGTGAGAGAACGAGTAAAAAACGAAACTCAGATGGTACCTTTAAAAAATACATTTCTTTTAAGTGTTCAAAAAGAGGTTGCCAAACTTATTGTTCAATTCGAAAACAAAATCAATTTTTTTCTTACTTAGATTTAAATAATAGATGTCACAGTAATTTATCATTAACCGAGATCATGGAATTAGTATGGCATTGGACACATTTGGTACCAGTTCATCAAGTTGTACAATTTACTGGTCGAAGTAAGAATACAGTTGTCGATTGGTTTAATTTATGTCGCGATGTGGCTATTTATAAATTTGACAAGCGATCAAAATTAGGTGGAAAAGATGTGATAGTTCAAATCGATGAATCATTATTCAAAGGAAAACGCAAATACAACCGTGGTCGTCTTCAATGTGGTGATATTAGACCAAATGAGGTAAATGAAAATGATAGTGACGATAGTGATGATACAGAAGAAGATAACAATAGTAATAACACAGTGGGTGCAAAAAATTATGGAACGCGTGTATCTGGACCGTGGGTTTTTGGACTTTGTTGCAAAAAAAATGATATTTTGGAACGACGTTTATTCATCGTAGAAAAACGTGACAAAGCAACATTACTTCCTATAATTAAAAATGAAGTAGAACTAGGAAGTATAATCCATAGTGATGAATGGAGAGCTTATTCGTCATTAAACAATGAAGGGTACATACACAGTACTGTGAATCATCAAAAATGGTTTATTGATCCTGATACAAATGCCAATACTCAAACCATAGAATGTGTGTGGAAAATAGTGAAAAAGCGATATGAAATAAGAGTAAACGGCGCATCACCATTATTACCGAGACAACTTAAAGAGGAGTGGTGGAGATCTCTTCACCCAAACAAGCAAACTATATTTGACGAATTTTTATCAGACATGAAAGATGCTTTTATGACATAAATTATATATAAAATTACGATGAATTCTTATCAGACAAGAAAGATAATAATTATAAATGAATTAATAACTATAATAACTATTAATATGGATAAATTTAAAGGATAAAATAACTAATTAATTAATAACTATAATAACTATTACAAATGCAGTATAGGTCAATACGTATATGTAGGTCGCACACTGGACCGAAAATGTATGTGTAGGTCGCACATTGGACCTGTGCCAAAATTTGTATATCATATGCTTCTAAATAGCTCAACATGAGACAAACTATTTTGAGCTTCTTAGAGTTACACGAAAACTTCCTAAATGCACCAATTAGATTTACTTTCCTATCAGAAAATATGCTGAAGTAGAAAATAAAAGAACTTTTACTGATGAAAAGGCGATGACAAGAAAATACACACATCATTGTAAGATCAATACACTCAGAATGTAAAAAAAAGTTATGGGATGATCCGTCACCCATATCTTCTCCGTGTCTACACCTGTGCATTAAAATACAAGTGGCCTCCTCCTTTCCTGGGTTTACCTCTATACAATATTTACCTGTTTTTGAAAAGTATTGGCATCATAATTATGTGTACAATTTTTTTATGTACGATCTATAGTCTATACGTTATATAAAAATTAAAAAAAAAAACATAAATGATTATATTTTTTGATTAATGGTCAAATTGGTGATTTTCTTTTTAGACTTATGTGGATTTAGAATTTAGTTTTTATAAATTATTAAAAATAAATGTAAGTTTAAAATTTAAAATATTTTTTTTGTTGCAGGTTCTTGAACATTGATATGACTGACACAAATGACCAATTTTTAGTTGAAGATGATGAAATATTAGCGGCTATATTAGAAGAAAGTTTAAGGTGAATTTGAATGTCATCTTTAAATAAATACAAATAAAATAGTTTTTATTGTTACACTAATAATTCAAGCACTAGTTAGTTGATTAAGCTTCTTTTATTAAGTAGGTGCGTATATATTTTTTTTGCAATGTATTACATATTCACATATGACATATTAGTATATTATTTCACAAAGCAGTTAACATATACTCAAATTGCATGTATACAAATATTGGAATACTTGCTCTGCTGAATAGGTTGTAGGTCCTAGCTTTTGAGTGTTCCTCATCATAAGGCTATTGAAGTTTTTACTTTTGACCTATCAAAATACCAACTAGATCCAATTTGTTACTGTAGAAACCACTTTAAAATTATACATTTTTACTGCTCCATAATGTTCCTAATGAAAATAACAACACCAAAAAAACTGGGTAAGTTGATGTTCCTCTACTGTATAGTAGGAACAAGTAGGTCATTGTAATGTATGGTGTTAAATTTGAATTCAATGATATAATATCACTGTATATGAATACACGATTCTGAGCAGGGAATTGCTTTGGTTGAAACAATTGAACTTCAGACGCGCATAAAAAAATATTGTGGATTTACACTCAACTTTTTTTTAAATTTCCATTAGCAGCAACTTGTGAGAAACCTTTATTAAAATTTCAAGCTTTTTTATAGATTGCAAATATTTTTTTCGACATTAATTAAAAAAAAAACTAAGAATGATCGAAAATTTCATACGCTTATAAACAGCTCAACATGAGTCAAAATATTATGAAAATTGAATGGTGTATAGAAAACGTTAATTACAACATTCAAAATGTCATGTATTTGTGGTAATTATTTTAGAGTTATACCAAAAACCAAATTCGATTATGTCAAAAACCGATTTTTCTTGAAAATTCCCGTTTTTCCTAAATTTTTTTTTGTTTTTCCCGGCTCTTTTGAAAATTACTGACAATTTTAAAATTTAACCTTTCAATTAAACAAAATAGATTCATTTACCCATCAGAAATGATACTGAAGTTGAAAATCAAAGTATTATTTTGATTATTTATCCGTGTACACAGATACATAAATAAACACACATCATTGTAAAATCAATACATTTGTTAGAATTTAAAAATAATATGTTCATAGCTCCTTCTTAAATTAAAATGTAAACAAATTATTTATTTTTTAATTTGTTTTTATTTTTAAGGGGTTCTAAGTTAATATTGTCAGTGTTTTATTCACAAAATTATTTTATCTTGTTTTAAACACATCATCAATAGCAATTACTGCGTTTGGGTACAGATTATAATGGATAATTAGTCTTAAATTAGTTTGTTTATCATAGCCATTGTTATTAAACAACTATAGACCTGTTAGATTCTTTGTCATGAACCTAATTGTTTTTAATAATATTGTCCTTGTGGCTGTAAAAAATCTATCTCAGTTGACTCGATTTTCACAAATTTTAACAAAGCATTAAAAAATGTAGACCATACTCCACATAACTATCAGCTCCAACAAGTGTGTTACAACTAACCTAGTATTCCTGTGTAGGTTGAAAGTTTCTTCTCATTCAACAAAGCACAATGTTTCTTTTATTGTCCCCATCTATATCACTAACTACAGAAGGAACCAAACAATTGGCTGTATTTGTGGTAATGAGCATCCCATTTATCTTAGTGGTTATTAATAATGAATATTATAGAATTATATTAGGTTTACAAGTCTATTTTGTGAAATTGTATTATTAATTACATTTATTCCATATCATAAAATATAAATTATTTCTAATTTATAGCATAGTTTATGTCATGCATTGTACTATTGGGCCAACACCCATTAAATACTTAAATATTAAAATAAATAAACAAATTTGTTTTTTTAATCAATATCAACACATATTTATCTTATAGACATTACAATGAAGTGGAAGTACCGTTACGGTCTATTGTTGCTAATGAAGTATCTCCTGCAAAGTCTATTATTGAGGATGAACTACCGCCTTTACAGTACGAAGCACCACAGCAGTCTAATGGCTCGAATTCTGTACCTAAATTAAGCAGGGATGCACCACCAGTAGTAATAGACCTGTGCCAATCACCCAAAAAATGTACAACTGTTCAAAGTAGATTATCACATTTTTTTACAAGACCTAAAAGTGATAAAATATGTAATAAGGAAGAAACTAATAGTGAACTAGAAAATCAAACTGACGAATTATGTATTGAAATGAATTCATCACCAGTACAGAATAATGTCAGCATTAGCAGTTCGTAAGTTACGAAAAAACATGCTCCTTTTTAATCAAATCTATTTCATTATCAATATATTGCTGTGACAACTTGATTCATTCTTTAGACCAGCAATTTTCTATAAAGAACCGGATGCAAATGGGTTTCATTTATCATCTGGTTCACATTATGTGTACCCCTCAAATTTTCCAGTCAGAGAATATCAAATGGGAATCATCAAAACAGCTTTATTTCATAATACTCTTGTCAGCTTGCCTACAGGTATTTTTCTATGTGTACAATTTTTTTATTTTGTAAATCATTAAATTACTGAGTTTTAATTTTTTCTTATATTATTATAGGCATGGGAAAAACATTCATAGCTGCTGTAGTCATGTACAACTTTTACCGATGGTATCCAATGGGTAAAATTATATTTATGGCTCCAACAAGACCATTAGTTGCTCAACAAATTGAAGCTTGTCACTCGATAATGGGTATTCCTAGAGAAATGACATTTGAAATGACTGGTTAGTTATAAAGAGAGAGGAAGAGAGTATTTTATTATTAACTATACAGTTTAATGATTCATTTATATGGGATCAAAACATTTTTAAGAATTTCTAGAGATTATTTGTTTTGGGTATTCATGATATTATTGAGTTGATTAAAATCTTATTTCACACATTTTCCTATCTGTGTTTTATATTTTTATGAAAGTATTAAAATATTTCCTAATACTTAATTAAATTCTAGGTAGTATTGCACCAGAACAAAGATATTTAGCTTGGAATAAATACAGAGTCTTTTTTCTTACACCTCAAGTTCTGGCCAATGATTTGAGCCTAAATAAATGTCCATCAGATACATTCAGATGTATTATTGTAGATGAAGCACATCGAGCTACCAAAGATTATGCTTATGTTCAGGTTATTAAATATTACATAATAAATATTACAAACAAATTATCATACAAGTTTGAGAAATATTAGTTTGATAATTGTTTTGTATTCTTATAGGTCTTAAAGCGTTTAGCTGAAGAAAACCGAGTTATAAGAATTGTTGGATTATCAGCTACTCCTGGAACTAATATAGAAGCGGTAACTGAGGTCATACAAAATCTAAGCATATCAAAGTTAGAGTTCAGAACTAATGAATCTCCTGATGTGGTAAAATATACAAATAAAAAGGATGTTGAATGCATACCAGTGAAACTTACAAATACTATTTTGAATATACGCACTCAATTTTTAATGGTTAGTGTAGTCTATTATTATTTATTTTATAATAATATTATACAAAATATATACAGAAATCTAAAAAAAAAAATGTTACAGTTGGTCATTATTTTTTAATTTATAAAACCACTTATATTGTAGTTATTTTAATACAATTTATTTCAGATTTATGATAAATACTTAAGACGTTTAAAACAGTACCATGCCCTTAATGGAAACGTGGCTAATCTAACAAAATTTCAAGTGAGTGTAGTGTTTAAATAATTATAGCATTAAAATCAAAAGATATTTAATATTTATAAGTAGTATTTTTAATATTTTTTTAGTTCAATGAAAGTTGTAATTTTTTCAGATATTCACCGCCAAACAAAAATTTTTAACCAGTAATAATGCCCGTGATATGCCCAAATCTCTTATTGGAAGTTTAATAAATGATTTTACCATATGCATGTCGCTGGCATATGCTTTAGAGTTATTGACAATTTATGGTGTCAAAGTATTTTATTTACAATCATTAGGTATTTAAAGCATTGGATGTTACATAATAAGTTTTGATCACATTTAATGTTTGGTTTTTGGTTTTTATTTAGAAATGAAAGAAAATCATAAATGTTTATCAAATGATGCTGATTTTCAAAATCTCTTGAATGGTATTAACAAAGAATTAAATTCTCAGGTAATTTAGTTATAATAAATCATTTAAATTGTGTGGAATGTTTTTAAATTAAAATTATTTTATAGGACTTGACTTGGAGTCACCCCAAACTATTTGAATTGAAAAAAATTGTTCAAAACTATTTTGGTAATGAAAATGTAGAAGCAAGTAGTAAGATAATAATATTCTGCCAGGTAAAGTGTTTAAATTTCAAATTTGATTATACAGTGGGAATTTGATATAAGATGCTATACATGAGATTGCATTGATGTGTTACCTATTAAAATACTTTAAAATTATTATGTTAATAGTATCGGTTGGTTGTAGTAGAAGTATTTGAACTTTTAAAAACATTTGGTTCATCTGTAAAACCGGTCATGTTTGTTGGGCAATCCGATAAAGTAAAAGGTGGTCTGCCGCAAAAAAAACAATTGGAGGTGAATGAGAATAAAAAGTTATTTCATCATAATATCATTTATAGCTATTTATAAAATGTCGATCATTCAAATATTTTGGAACAGGTGATGAGTCGGTTTAAGAGTGGAGATTTCAATGTATTAATTGCTACAAGTGTAGCTGAAGAAGGCCTAGATATTGGAGATGTTGACCTGATCATATGCTTGGAAGCCAACAAATCTCCAATAAAATTTGTACAACGACTGGGTCGAACTGGACGTAAACGTTCAGGCAAATGTATTACTTTACTGACTGAAGGAAAAGAACAAATTGTAAATATATTGTACAAAATTATGTTTATGTTATTGATTAATTTTAACTTTGTGTGTGCAGTTATTGAATATTAATGACATGTAAAACCAAATTGGTAGATGTTAGAAACCAGTAGTATTCTATCATTTGCGCTAAAATATTACCATACTGAATTTAACCTATACCAGCGGTTCCCAAATGTTTTTACTTTTTAGTTCATGCCACACTAAAAATTAAAAAAATAAATAACTATTACAGAAATCCCCGAATTAAGTATATTATTGTATAATGAGACTTAAAGTAATACTGACATAGTGAAATATTTATTTAGAATAGTTAAGACGTTTCAACAAAATTATTGTTGATTAAAAAATATCAATTTTTACCACTCGGCTTCACAGCTTCACCTGACCTATACAATTAAAATATGTTAAAGAATGATTATCTAAATAAATATATTTTATTTTTGTTTAGAAATACAATTCTAGTGTTTCTTCGAGTAAAACACTTGTAATGAAAATGTTAAAAAACAAAACAATACTTTCTAAGTTGGCTCCTGAAGGACCAAGGTTGGTGCCAAAACGTGAGTGTCTTATATTATAAATAATATATGTTTAAAAAATGAATTAAAATTAGTAAAATTAACTTTTTAACCTAGAAATAAGTGCACTCTGGTATATTTTACAATAAAATAAAAAAAATGTTCAATATTTTAGATATCCATCCACAACGTTTAATGATTCATGTAAAAGCACCAGAAAAACTTTTTCCGGAAAAGAAAAAACCAAAAGGCAAGAGAAAAGCAATTGATAATATCATGCGATATGTAGAACCTAATGATGGCCAAAATGAAGTAGATGAAGATGGAGAAGACGGACTCGATGTTTTCCAAAATAATATAGGTATAAGTCTTAGAGAGCATAGCATAAGTTCTAAATCATTAGTTATTACTTATTTTATAAAATTGTTATTACTTCTTGAATATACTAGTTATAAATAATAGAATAATTGCAAGATTATTATTTAATAGTATAGACCTACAGTAACTAGTATTATTGCTTTGATATAGTGAGTTCTGCTTAATATGATCGCTGGTTAATAAAATCAACCACATATTGGAATAAAAATTGAAAATCCCAAACCAAATCTTATGTTACTAATGTTAAATTAACCTTTTATTAGAATCACCAAGTACAGGATAATTTAATCACTGTTGTGAACATTCTTATCGTTTCTATTGTATTTCAAACTGATTAATTTATAATACTAATTTTATTTTTGAATTTGTAAAAGTAAGATAGTGTATTGTTGTACATCACGTTGTTCAGTTATCTTTGTACGTTGTGTAATTGTGTCGTTTAGTTTATTATATGTAGTTTGTGATCAAACATTTTTCTTAAATGTTGAGCAGACGTTAAAACTTAACAATAAAAGAAAAAATATGTACTTGATTTGTTTTGATAAATTAGAGAAATGTTCTCAAAAAATTCCACATAAGCTCTGAAAATTCTAGAGCCTACGTTAAACAATATTTTGAAAAATCATAAGGAAATCTTAGGCTCATATGAAAATGAAATTAGTAGATTCTAAAGACAATCAAAAATATATAGTTTTTTTACTTTATTTTATTTTAATTTTATTTTAAGTATACGTATAAACATGAATCATTAAAAAAAAAAATGTCTTATGGAAACAACCGTTTAATAGAATCAAAATTATGTGAACCAATGTGATCTCATTAAGAACTCACTGTAATTATTATTTTAAACGACTCATTTCACTACAACAGTTATTAGCAATTTATATTATACATATTTATATTACATTATACATTTTTATATTTCTTCACCCTTCAATACCAACTATCTAGTTTATCAAAGCGTAATCAAATTTTTCGAATACTTTGTGTGTTTAATTACTATACAATATTATAATTACAAGAATATTACAATTCATTCTATAAATCAATAGTATTAACAACTTGTAGTGACATTAAACATGTTCATATTAATATAATAATATAATAACAGCATAACGTATACCTCCAAATAGTTATTGATACCTAGTACATAGTACAATTTATACATAAAACAACAATAAATAAAGGTAGTATGTCCTGGGTATTGTAATGTTAATTGATGTTCACCTTTAATTAATTTTTTTGTATATGAGATACATATATGTAAATTGTTATATGTGTGGATGGTATTAAACATCTAATAGGTATATATTTTAATGAATAATTTGTATTTGTTCTACTTTAGTGTTATTTTGATAGGTGGTATTCAGTTATAGGTAGTTTAGTAATTGATAGTGTTGTATAGTTTGATGTATTTTTGTACACTGATGTAATATTGGTTCACCATCCGTTGCAGTTGACTCTATCGTATGATCCATGGTTAGACTTTAAGCATCAGATTCAAGTTATATCTTATACTAGTTGATGATTCTTCTAGTAAAATGAGTAATTTAAAATAAAAAAATATAGATTTATATAAAGTTTAAAATTTGTTTCAGATAAACCGAAAAAAAGATCAAAAAAACGAAAAACCGTTGAATTTGATACAAACGAAAATGACTGTTCAGAAATCGGACCGTCCAAACAAAAAAATACCGACCTAGATTGCGAACATAATTTAAATGATAACTATTATGATGCATCTGAAATCAATGCACATGATGTAACCGAAAGGACTTTGGACCACTTCGTCGACGAGGAAAAAGTGTTTAACGAATGGCTTCAGTCATGTATGAGGGCCAATACCGTAGTGTTGAACAGCAAGTTTACGGAACTGTTAAATTTTTTTACTGATAGTGGCCCATGTGATACTGAATTTTTCAATGGCAAACCGATGGATGGCATGTTTATTGGGCAGACTGACGTTGGTAAAATACTTGAAGGTCCGTCGGTTAGTGAAGGGTGCACGGTCCACACGAACGATCAGCCGATGAGAAATGCCAATAATTTGTTCCGATTACGCGATGATGTACGACTAGGTGGTTCACAAGTGGCAAGCACATCTACAGCTCATGAAATCAATGACTTCACGGACAATTCAAACCCCGAAGATATGTTCGATGGGCACACTGACTACTCGACTTTCATGCGACCGATCGGTATACGAACGTCTGCAATTTGTGGTGGCAGTCACGAAACGAAACTCGAACAAAACAGCCGTACGGGAAAATGTAATTTCAACGACCTGTTCAAAAGCCCACTGGCTGACGAGTACACCAATGATTTCATGGATAGGAATACGAGTTTCCCTGTACGCCCATCCTCTGTAGATGACTTCAATGTCGGCGACGACGACCACAGTTCTCCAGCTGATATCATGGCCGGAGCTATAGAACGGGACGACGACCAAGACGAAGACGATGAAGTCATACGAAATCTTGATTTCGAAGAACTATTCAAGAGCCAGAGAGCCGACAGGTTAATCGAGAAGTACAGCGAAGAAATTGCAGCTGAACGACCCAAAGTTGATCTAGCGGTCGTTTGTAATGGTGGTGGCAAAAAAGCCGAAATGTGCCATGAGGGAAAAATGAACAACGAAGTATTGTTCGAGAGTAGTCAAAAATCCGACGGGTCTATCGAAGACTTGGTAAGCGACACGGGATCCCGAGTTCGGCCGTCGAATGCAGGTAACTACGTTATACCCGACGATAACGACGACGATGACCAGGACAACGACGAAATCATGGGAAAAATTGATTTCGAAAAACTGTACAAGATTCCGAGATCCGATAACTGTATAGAAAAAGAAACCGGATTACAAAACATCAATCGATCGATCGCCAATGGTGGTCGGAAGAGTCCTGTCATGTGTGGTGGTGGGAAAAAGGTATTGACATCCGGCCACCTGTCGATCGGAAAGATGGACTTCAGTGCATTGTACAAGAACCAAAGGTCCGATGGGTACATTGAAGACTTCATGGTGAGAAACGCTGGACCCCGAGCCGGTCAGTTGAATGCAGTCGATCGCGTCTTACTCCACATCGATGAAGACCAGAATAAAAGCGACGAAGTGATGGGAAATATTGATTCCAAAAAACTTTTCAAAGGTCAAAGGGCTGCCAAGTGTATGAAAAAGAATGAAAGTGACAAAATATCCGCCAAACAATCGAACGTCAGTCGATCGATTGTAAAGGGTGGACGGAGAAGTCCCATCGTATGTGGTGGAGCGTCGGAGAAACTGATCAAGAGCCAACGGGCGTACGAGTACACAGAAGACTACGCGGATAAGACCTTAGCAGAAAAGGTCGGGGTGGCGGATGGTTTGCCGAGCTGGGATGTTAGGGTTAACGACGACGATGACGACGACGTTATTTCCATAAACAGTTCTCAAGAATTTTTCAGTTGCAGACTGCCAAAGAAGACCACCCAGACGAAACTGACGGATCATGTTCGTGCCGACCGCCCCATCGATATCATCGACTTATCATCGCCGCCACCAAAATCGTCATGTACCGCGGTCGCGGCCACATCCGCCATCAGTCTGCCGATTGTAGAAGACAGAATTCCGACCGGCAGTGTCTCGGCCTCACATGTTGGCGGCAGTGGTCTGTTGCAGACATACGACGATGATGACATGGATTTTATGTTCATCGATTACAATAGTGACGGTGATGCTGCTGTTGATGTTTTTACGCAGAAAGACCGGGACGGCTGTGATTCAGACGTTTTCACGCAGAAACAGCCGGATTGCTGTGATGCAGATGTTTTTACGCAAAAATGCCGGGACAGTGGTGATGAGGACTTTTTCACTCGGAAGAAACAGGGCGGCAGCGAAACGAAGGCGGCGGTCAGTCTACCGTTATCCCCTGTCGCTTCTGCAGCGAAATCATCGCTTAAGGGTGACGTGGCGAAGCGTGCCTGCAACCCCACACAATCATACGACAACGGTATGATGCCATTCAACATCATGAAAGCTGCACGTCTTGTTGATTTGCTGAAGCCGGGCTTGAGCATGAAGAGGAACATGACGGCGGTATCTAAACGAAAAGTCGACAACAGCTTGCCGGTGGCTACGCTGAAAGGACAAGTAGACAAAGGCTCCTCATCGGGGGCGTTCAAACGACAAGTCAATAACTCCTCGCCGGTGTCTGCGCTAAAACGACAAGTCGACAACTCCTCGCCGGTGGCTACGCTTAGACGACAAGTCGACAAAGGCTCTTCGTCGGGGGCGTTCAAACGACAAGTCAATAATGCCTCACCGGTGTCCATGTCCAAACGACAGGTTGAAAACTGCTCACCGGTGGCTGGGATCAAACAACAGTTCGACAACGGCTCGATGGCAGCGTTGATGTTGAAAAGAAAAGTCGCCAACTGCCGAAGTCCAGCCGACGACATGTCGCCCATACGTCCTCCGAACGGCCAACGGCGGCGTCCTCAGTTTTCACAGTCTACTCCTAAAGTTCCCGTGCACTCGAAACAACGACAACGAGAAACCGTCACCACCGCTGCCACCACAGTCCCCACCTCCAAAAAGGTAAACTCTCTGTTGACGTCCAGTAGCGACTCTGACGCTTTCATCGGCTACGGGTGCACAGAAAAGACGACCAGCACTTGCCGCCGAGTCAAGAAAAAACGCCGAAGGAGACCGAAAAAGGTCAGTTCACTAATAAGTGATGATTATTATTCGACTAGCTTCAACGTTTGCAGTAGCTATGATTTAATTACAAGATTCCCGCATAAGGCTAAGTATATATTATATAGGGCCTGGATTTAAATGCTATCTAAAAATTCTCTAAAAATAGCAAAAAGTGTAATTTAACCGCAATAAAATGCATGTAATGTATGAATATGCACTAACAATTATAAAAATAATCTAAAAATTATAAAAAAATGCAAAATGTAAGTTTAAGTTTTAAACACTTGGATGTAAAAACAAATTTTGTTCTTGAATGTCATTCTTTTGTGCATTGGACTTCCCAAAAAATTCAAATCCGAGCCCTATTAATGATATGTACAAAATAAATATATTTATCTATTATATATAATATTTGCTCTTCGCTAATACACATTTTTAATAAAAATTACTTAAAGTCATGTTTAGACCCATTTATGAAATAATGTCTTTGATAATAATAATGATCTCAGAATTATTATTATTTTTCGGAGGTATTATAAGTATATTTTATTTACTAAAAATAATTTATTAAATAATTCAAGTTACTAAAACATCTATCATTTCCAGTAAGTTTTTCTTGCATTGTTTTAAAAGACAATAATTACTAACAAAAAAAAGTCTAGACGTTTGTAGTACTACTATAATATATACTAAAGTAAAGAATTGATGTTTTTAACTTTTTTAATTGGAGTATCAGTTTCAGTTTTGATACCATTGATTACATTAGATTACAGAATACCTACCGTATAAACAAATAGAAGTAGGTAATAAAACTAAGACAATAAGATAAACTAATATGAGCTACTCACGTCTTACCGGTGTAACGTACTATACGTATTATATGTGTACATATTTATAGATTTTATAATTATTAAGTGTTTTTTGTGTATCCATCATCACGTTTTATAGCAGAAGTGTTGATTTCATCTTTAACTTTGGACGATTCAAAGTTTGAAAAAATAAGATATTCAAATTCAAACTAAACTAACGATGTTTCTAATGTAATTCAAATATATTTATGTTAAAATCTTTAACATTTCAGTATTACTTATAAGTTACATTTTATATATCATTTTCTTTACTTAGTCAAATTTTGAAAATATTTAGACTAAATTTTAGCTTTTCATAATAGACATAATTTTTAATTGTTGACATTTAAATTTTAAACGAAAGCGATAAATGTATTGATTTTGATTTTTGATGTAATGATGTGTTTTTTTTTAAATTGTGTCTATGTACACGATGAGTAGTCGAAATAATGCTTCGATTTTCAACTTAAGTATGTCTTTTACGGTGGAAAGTGAATCTAGTTGGTGGATTCGGGAAGTCAAAATTTAAAGTTCACAGTAGTTTTCAAAAGTGCCGGGAAAAACGAACAAAAAATTAAGAAAAAACGGGAGATTTACACAAAATCGATTTTAATGTTTGGTGCACCTTTAAAACAAATGAACGCACATACACGAAACTTTCACTGAATGTGTAAATTATCATTTTCTATACACCATACAATTTCAAAATATTTTAATTCATGTTGTGCTATTTGTAGGAATGTGAAATTTTGAATTATTATTTATTTTTTAAAATTAATATTGATGATCAAATTTTTACTCTGTCAAAAAATTTGAAATTATAATACAAGGTCTCTTGTAAGTTTGTATTAGTGTAAATTAAAAAAAAAGTTGAGCTTTAATCCACAATATTTTTTCACAAGCGTCTGAATTTCAAATTTTGACAAAATACTTAAAAATTACGAAAGTTTGCAAATTATTTTGAGTTAGAAATTCGTAAAAATTTTTCTTTTTAAATATAAGATTTCAAAATTTAATACAAGCTTTTTCAGAAGTTTCTCTTCCTTTATCAAAACAAAATTTCTACCGGAAATCAAATTCAATTTTTATGAGCGTTTGAAGTTTAAATTTTTATAACATAGGATATTCATTCGATTTTTCATTAAACGATTATCTTATTTTGTTGTAATTAAAAAACGAATAACCATAGATGTTTGAAATTTACACTAAATGTTTGTTTTATTATTTATTCTATACTTGAAAAGTTAAAAAATATTTTGACTTGTCTTGACCTGTTTACGGACATTTTTAATTTTCAATTATTTTGGTTTTTTTTTCTTTATATGTCAATACAATTTTGTTCGTTAGGTCAAATAGCTTGCGAATTTAATACAATGGTCCTGTTATATTGTTACAATAAAAATTGAAAAACATTAAAAGTACATATGAACAATTTTTTCATTTTAAGCAACATTTTCAACTTTAAGCATTTAAAGTTAAAATTTTGACAACATTTATTAAATTCAAAATGTGCATATTATTTTTTGTAGTTTAAATTTTTTTAAATTTTAAATTTCTACTGCTATGGATTGAAAATTTAAAATAAGGTTACATTTAAGTAGTTAATTTTGTAGAAAAAAAATTTGTAGTTTTGTATAGTTATTTTAAGTTCAATTTTTTACGTTATTTCGACATATTTGTACCAAATCTAACCCTTTACTTATTTATTTTGTTATAATTTAAAAATATTATTCGTGGATACTTGAAACTTTTGTAGTAATTATTATATTTTATACACTTGCAATGACTTTCCAAATCTAATTTTTTTGGTAAAAACGAATTTTATCTACCATATTAATGCCTAATAGTAAAATAAATGACTTCAATCAAATCAATTAATTATCATCAAATATACTAAGTGATATTATAGGCTGACAGACTGTCTTCGTTCAGAATTGTTTATGTATACAATGGTTTTATCATCGAATTCAAATTTAAAGCTATCCTTTACTGCAGTGACCCACTTGTAACAACAGAGCGACATCCACTTACCCGCTTTTTTCTCCTCTGATTTATGTAGATAAAATGTTTATTTTTCTGTTCAAATACTTGAATACAAAATATAAGATAATATATACATAAGTACTCATAAGTTGTTCTTCAAACAAAAAATAAATTTGTTCAATTATTTTCTATGAGTTCAATGTTACGGGTGTAAGGATTATATTTGAAGATTTTGAACATTATTCTTAGTATTCTCATTATTCTAAACTTTTGTCGATTTTTAAAAGTAATATTTTATTATATTCTAACTTGGTAGGTAACTCAGAAACAATATTTATTAAATATCAATTTCTATATTCAGTAGAAGTTGGTTAACGCGACATCAAAGGGACCACGTAGTTTGGTTGTATTAATAGTTATAGGTAATTGTAATAATAATAACAATAATTCTTTATTGCGTACATTTTACAATTTATGATTATGCTTCTAACGTAGGTAGGTTGATAGGTTCTATAAAACTAAACACAAAAAATACAGAAAATTCAGCTGGGACTTAAGGTTTCTACTGGATATATTATATTTATAATTTTTTACCCTTATTTTTGCATTTAATTTTATTGTCTACTGCTACCCTACTCCCTATCTTTCTCCTGTTGAATATAGCAAATATGTATAGTATAATATCATGTTATTGACTGTCCATTTTTGTTATCTTATTTGACGTAGAAACTCTTGTTCATCGATGACGAAGCTGATGTCAGCAATTGCTACGGCGACGGTACCAACCTCAGTGAGACTAGCTCCGACAACGACGAAGGCGACGAAGACGAAAACGATTTCGATTCCAGTTTCATCGATGATGATCATGAAAAGTCCGATCCGTCGAAGAGTATGACTAAACAATATTTGCAATCGGTGAAGTATGTGTCACGCAGTGTAATAATATTTAGTATTATTTTAAGCCGTTTTTAGGGTGTTCGCACTAATAAAGATAAAATATAGTGTACCTATAGCTAACCTAGTGCTGAGGTTGTAGAAATGGTGATTTATGAATAATTTTAGGTACTTGTCAAGTAACTTGTATAGTCCTATGGTGCGTTGCTATTTTTAGTGTCAGTCAAGTATCTGCTGAACACCAGACACAAATTACAAGTTTAACTCCACTAGTCACACAACCTACAAATAATAGTGGAGTGCACTTCTCAACTGGGAGAATATATCAAAGTAAAGAATGAAGATATTCGAAATAAAGCTGAGAATCTAAATGCTCTTCAAGATTGTAGAGTTATTCAAGGGTTCCTTCAAATAGTTTTAATTGACAATGCAAATGAAACAAGTTATGAATCGTTATCATTCCCCGAATTACGAGAAATGACTGGATAATTTATTATTATATCCTGTAAATGGTTTAAAATCACTTTGCTAAAATCTTCCCTAATATGTCTGTAATTTGAGAATAAGATTTATTTATGTCATATGCTATTACTGTTTATGAATTGGGGTTGTACAACTCAATGGATGTTGTAAGATGTGCTGTTTACATCACTAAAAACCCTATGCTGTGTTTTACACAAACTATTAACTGGATAAGAATTGCACCGCCTGGAAAAGAATCGCATGGTATTCATTTAATGACAACCATTTCGTGGTTATCATATTTACATGGTATATATGATAATCGTCTTGTAAATATATGTCCTGTGTGTCCATAGAAAAATGACATAAGTTGTTCTGTTTCTTGTTATACTTCTGAACTGTAGGTGGCTCTTGGGCCTTGACGTCTAGGATAGTACACAAGTACACACGGGCTTTTTCACTTATCGAAACCATTTAAATTAATTAAATTACAAATAACCTATCGTTATAATGTAACGACAAGACTAAAAGTAGAGGTAATGCAGGCCGACGCGCGACGCAGCACTAGTTTTTATCACCTTATCGCACTACAATACTAACATTTTCTTAACATGTTATAATTTTCATAATATTTTGGCTATTTTCTAGTTATTTTTAAAGATTTAAAATGTTTGACTAGTGTCTTGTCTTTTTCATATACATGTTGTACAATTTTTCTTATAAAATTCATTGTTTTAAGTTAATATTTTTTCTTTTTGAGAAAGCTTATAATAATTTTTATGGAGTTTAGTCTTCCAAATTTACGCTAGTGTTAGTTAGGTTGAAATCGCATACATTAATAAATCGGTTAGAATGCGCTGATTAAATACAACGAATAGACCTTACTGTTGAACGATTAGAAATTGGTAATAATTTTTATATAATAAATTGAAAATTTCTCGTTTAGGAGCCAGGCCGCCACTCTCGGAGTTTTCAAGATACCTCAGCTAACAAGACAGCATTTCAACATTGACGTTTACTCACAGATGGGCGATAGGATCATGGATGATAACTACGAAGAGGTAACAGTTTAGAATTAACGAAGTATATTGCTTACGTATATAATTTTACACATAAAACTATGTAATAATATTCTGATTACCTACCCACTTAAAATTACTTAGTTTTATTTGTTTAAAAAGATTTATTTTTCCGTATTAAAAATTGTATTTTAAATTTTAATTGTTTTTGCTGTAAATCAAAACACTAATTTAATCTTTGAAGCGTTCATTAATATTATAATTAACTAGTATGTTACGTTATTATAATATAATTTATACATAGATCTATAGTAAATTTTGACACTTTTTGTTATGAATTGGCTTTTTCGATTAGCTTAACGGCGCCCATTTCCCACGATCGGGACTTATGTACTGTTCCATCGCACAGTCGTGTATAAATATATAATAATATCATTAAGTATAAGTTATAGTTACATAACTATTTATTAATTTAATGGACATAAAATAATGTCAATGGTGATAATAAATGATAAATATTAATGGACCATCATTCATTAAAATATATAATATTACGTTGGCTTTGGTGACCTGTCATTGGTGTAACTACTTAACCTAATAATTATAGTATGGTAATCGTGGTAATCAATATTCCTTATTCTCGGTCGACAGGATTCGTTTTGTGTGGACGACGCGTCGGACCTGAACAGCACGTTTTCGACGACCAACACGAGCGAGCATCGAACGTCGGACGAACGGCCGTCAAAGCCGTCGCCGTCACGGAAGCGGAAGCGCATAATAATGTCGCCGCGGAGTACGGACAGCAGCGACGAAAGCCCACGACGCAAGTTCCGCCGGAAGCGAGGCAGGGTGAAGACTTCGCTGGACTTCAGTTGATCACCGCGGCCCGCAGCCGACGGATTTCGGATGTAACTCTTTCGGTGGTCCATCTATCTGTTAATATTTGTTTTTTTCGCTCACTTTTATACGTAGCGTTTTTTTTTATTGTACTGTTTGCCGCCCCGCCGACTTTTGCAGAAACGTGATACTAGTCTGTGATCTCGTAATGCTGTGTACCTACGCACGACAGGTCACAGGTGTGACTGACTGCGTGTGGCCATCGGTTGGTTATTTATTTTTTTTGCAGTTCAACTGCACATACCTCCTATATTATTATATTACTCTTATATATTATACCTAAATAAATGTTTGTTTGTTTTTTACATTTTTATATACATATTTAACTGTTAAATATTTATTTGTGATAACCAACAGAATAATGAAAACGGATACCTGTACTTGACGTTTTGATCCCAGTTTTAATGTGATAATAAAAATTAACTTTTAAAATAATAACCGAGTTTTTACGATTTATTACAGATTCAGAGCTGATGAGCGAGTCGTATGTTTGTTTTTGATGATGATTTGAGTTTTATGTTTGGAGCACGTTTTTGAGCAGAGTGATTTGCTTCAATTTACAATCATCAATATAAAGTCTGGCTTGTTGGTTTCTGTTAGATTTTTCGATTTAGTTTGTTGTTTGAAGGTCAACAATAAGAAATGTCATGTACTTATCTTTATAATTGGGAAAAGCTAAAGGAAAACGTAAATATTTATGTATATTGCATACTAATATTTGAAAATGCTCAATTTTTTTCGACTAATATGGCTCCCTCGTATGATGTCCTTGCATTGTAACTAAACATTTTTTTTTGATTAGCATTTGAACTTGAAAGTTTAATTTATTCGTTTCCTTCACTGAGAACCATTTTTTTGTATACGATGATTATTATTTGTATTGGATTAAAGTTTAAGAAATCAATTACACGATTTTGTACTCAATTATGAGGTATTTACACGTAAAGTATAATCTGCAACAGAATAGGCGACTTCTTTAGTTGTTTAAGCTATGTGTATTATGACATGTATACTGATGCTATTCAGATGTGAGTAAAATTAACCTATCTTCTAAAGCTTGGAACGTATATATTTATTAATATATTATTAATATTATTTTTTTCCGCGCTTAAAAATTAAACGTCTACAGGCACTTCTATTACATGTTTAAATAAAATAAACAGAAAAAAAAGTACTTAATTTTGATACTTTTAAACTGTATCAAGAATATTACATATGAATAATTCATTGAAAAGAATTACAATTATAGTCTCATTAGTAGGTACTATTATGTTTAATATTAAAACTGTAATGTGTGCGTATTTTATTATTTTAACATTATTGTAGGTGTTTACCTGTTATGGTTGTGCTGCTAACTTCCGAGGGTCAAACTTTTGGTGAATTTTAAGAAATACTTAAAAAAACTTTTACTTTAAGAAGTATTTACTTTGAAATATTGTTCAAAAAATAGGCACTAAAAATATATACTAGTTATAATTATTTTTGAAGAACATTTCATGTGATAAGTAGCTGCAGAATGTAGTTAACATAGGCGTATAATATACGTGCGTAACAGTGGTGAGAGTGGAAACCATCCTTATCTTAAAATTAAGACTTCCTCGGTATATTTTGTAATTAGGTAAATACTATCGAAAACCGCATTTTAGATATGTAGGAGTTTTTACTCAGAAAAGTAAAATATTTTAAACGATTAACTACTGAAAAATGTAGGTAATACTTAATACATACTAGCTTCTAGAAGTAAAATGTCTTTATTAAAGGTAAATACTAGATAATCAATTTACCTTCATAACATTTCCTACCGACAGAATTCTTGCGCCAGAAAATTAAAACAAGACATTTTTCGTAATTTTACCAATTGTGAGTTGGTATTCAAATTTTTTACACCTTCACTAATTTTGTTATCAATTAGTAAAGTTTGTATAATTGTGAGTGAATTATAATAAATATAAATTTACATTAAAATGTGTATACCTATGTATATTTTAATCAACAAATGAAAATTTTATTTTTATACACATTTTCTGGAAAAAAATCGCTGGGCCACATAACATCTATCCAAATGCAATTTCAGTTTCAAGAATATTATCAACCATCATCCTAAGTCATAGACTCATAGCATTCACTCAAAACGTTCTCATTGGCCGGTTATTTATGAGGTATTTAAAGCTAAAAATTCTATCAACTCAACCACTCAGATTACTTCGACTGCGTATACTCGTAGTACCCACTCTTTTTCTTCAAATTATAATCATCCCTTTTCCTGTTAATTTTTAAGTAGATGACTTTTTTAAAAATATTTTAATCATCGAATAAGTAGTTTTTGAATTATTAAACTTTGTGTACCAATGATTGTAGGGGTAGGCCCATGATTATAGGTTTGAAAGATATGATGACTTAAAAATGATAACATATAATTATTAATTAATATTAATCTATTAACATTTGATAATTTGTAAAAACCGTAAAATTAAAACATAAAAACTAAAAAAACAAATACATAATGAATTAATGCACACTAGATTAAAAATAATACTTGCATCTTACATTTTTGTGAAAGTCGCATAAAAGGAGTAAATGACACGTATCTATAATATATTATATTGTCCTTAGTATAATTTGTATCATTTTTGTAACTCAGAAACTACCAGTTCGCATTTCAATGAAGATACATCTATATTTTAAAAGAAAATCATCTGTTTCACAATATACAAAAAAGGAAGCTTAATAGGTTCATTTTAGTCTGAAAGAAATAAGTTTTTATCGTAATAAGACACGCTCTTATGGTTTCAAAAAAAAAAAACGAAGTATTTGAACATCTGGCCAGTGATAGGTATAATACATGAAAATTTCAAAAATTATTATTTAAATAAATTCATTATAAGACGAAAGACGTTCATGATCATGTTTGGCGAATCACTCTATACACAGATATAATATAGTAGTAGGAATGTTTTCGTATGATATACTCAATCAAGTTGCATTATTGAGTTTTATATAGATGCCTCTAATTATATAGACACTTTTATTATATAACAGTTAGCTCAGATATTATGTTCAGATTTATTAAATCTAATCAGTGGATATACTTTAAGTCAGTAAATTAAGCCCCCCTCCTATATAAATTTCCAAAATTACGCCGATAATGTACAAGGTGCTTTGAGATTCGGTTTCTGCTGCACAGTGTAGCAGAAAATAGAAATTCAAGTACACACAGTGAAGTAACCACGTAAAAAAAATTTTGGACACTCCACACTGAGTATGCATATATTTAAATTCCAGCTATTGCCGTTTGTGATTGATTAATGAATGGAGTTAAACAAAAAACAGTCCACAATATTTGTGAAGAAACATCAAGTATAATAATTAATTAATAATTAATAATAATAATAATAATAATAATGATGATGATAATAATAATAATAATAATCATAATAATAATATTAATAATAATAATAATAATAGTAATAATAATAATTACAATAATAATAATAATAATAATAATAATAATAATAATATAATAACACGTTTTTCCCATTATGATAAACGCCAGATATATTATATAGGAGACGAAACACAATATACAGAGTTGAATAATAATGAATATAATAATGAAATATAATAAAAGATTTATAATTTTATCGGTTATAATAGTATGTAGGTATTTTTTGATAGTTTAGTTATTAGGTAGTTTATAAAAAAAAATTTGTTTTGGCATCACAACGCGGCTCACGTATCGAAACGGAGATAAAAATCGTCTTCACTGTAGACTCCTCTACAGCCAGAATTTCAATAGTAATGATATTCACCCATCACATTAAATTTGGCAAAACGTACTGTTACGGCCGGTAACGGGGTATCAAATTTCGGGAAAACTTGGTCTTGAATAAAAAGGAAAAAAACCAGAAAGGTTTCGCTTCACGATTCGCAGCGATGTCCGCGTGTATCTATTATCGTTATCATTTTGCTGTTCTTGGAGCATCACAGTTTTATTTTTTTTATACAATTTGTCAGATCTTAGTGTTTTTTATGCCCCAGCTATGTTCGATACGTCCACACTTGCATTTTGGGCAATTTATTTTCGAGTATTTCTACCAGTTTTTTTTCCTATCATTATTATTATCATTATTTATCGTGGTTTAGAACCGTTACTTGAACAACTGTCCGGTTGTGACTTTAACGCGCGCGAACGACGGGCATTATCCTGTACTCGTGGAACTACCTAATAATTTCAGTGTTTCAAAATTTTACTTTTTAATTTTCGCAATAGCTTACGCGTCACGTCAACGGTTTTCACAAAATGCACCGGTTCCAGTACGGTTTTCAGTAATATCATATTGGGCTTAGGTATAATAATATATAACATTATTGTTAAATTAACAGTACCTATATATAATAATAATGTTATTTTTAAATTTTAACTCTAATAATGTAATATTGTAATAATTTTCATATTATATAATATATATATATAAACTTATTATTTCTAATAAGACTAATGAAGATTCGCAGTCATAACACATATTATGATGACGTTTTTCTTTTTTTTTTTTTGCTAACGTCAAACGACAAAGCGATTACCCCTATATTATAATAGTGTTAAACATCTACTTTCACTAAGAAGAAAAAAAAACATAACGTGTAAGTATATTATTGTTATAATATTAAATAATTAATGTACATAATTTTTAACACTCATATGCCAGAGAATATATAACTACACACTCGCACGCACACACCCACACACACTCACACGCGCGTATATTTCGAGGGTGCAAACTCGTTGACACTGCAGCGATAAAAGTGGGGTTGAGACTTTTTGATGTTTCGTCTATACACCACGATATGCCTTCGCATGGCGAGGCGAGTGTAAAGTTCAGTGCGACAGTCACCGGGCCAGGGGAGGAAGGGCTACGCACCCTACGATCTCGATCTCCGAACTCCGCAACAGGTGGGCCAGATATATTGATATATATATATAAGAGCTTTATTGCGATCTCAGACCATCGACATCGGACTATAGCAGCCACAGTATGACATTTTTGGGTAAACGCAGAAAATATATTTACAACGCTTATAGTAGGTAGGTACCTATTATATCTACAACGTCGAGCGAGTGACATAATTTAATACAGGCACATATGTTATTATTATGTAAGTCATCCGACGAGATCATGACGAGTGGTATACATCTATCGAGTGAGTGGTGGTGTGTACACGACAGTAATGGTGGTGCGTGAGTATATATAATATATAGGTCATATATAAAGGTATACCTATGTACAAATACAAATAGTATATATTTTATGCATATATTTGATTTTGCCAGACCGACTTGTCTCGTACGATATATAGCATATGTATTGTTGATATGTCGATATTATTGCATGGCTTATGATGGGTTTGGCGGCCCGAGAGAGGGTGCATGGAACGTCAGTGTCGTCGGTGGGCCTGGGGGTAGCGGGGTGGGTTTGGGGGGGGGGTAAGGGGCACGAATGCACGATGCGGTAAATGGAAAACGCGTAAATGTCACACACACATATTATTATTATATTATATTATTTACAAAGGCACCCCGTACGTTGCGCGGCGACGACGTACGACCTAAGGCCGCGCGTGATGTTTTATAATACATAGGATATAATGTGGGTGTATGGTATGGGTACGTTGCACGTGGCGATTGTTCGTATACTATACGACGTTGCGATAATGTTTGTACAATAATTTGGAAACGAAATCGGAAATAGAACACGCGGCAAACCGGGAAAAATAAAAATTACAATGAAATAATTTACAAATAAATATAATAATATGCGACGGCGCGGAGGTGACGCGGAGGAGACGAGTCCCGCCGAGACATATATTTTCGGCGCGTTCTGCAGCTGCGCTTCAGCCGATTTACAGGTAAACGCGACGCAAGTTGGACGGAAGCGTTATCACGTAACACTGCGGACACAGCTTTTTAGCACCCTGAAACACGAAGAAGACATTAGTATCACGATAAATCTGCGTATTTTGGTGGGCACGATGTATCAGTCGGGTCCGTAGGCGCCGATTTCACAGTTGAGTCACATCATTAACAGTACCAGTTGTAGGTACTATTACACACTGTTAACGCAAAATGTTTAATTTTTGAAAATGCATGAACGGTGGGTAAGTCGGGCAGGTGTCCCGTCTACCCCCCGCGTATGTATACATATTTGATATTGTCGATATAAACGATGGCGGCGCCGCGGATGAAATGCGAAAGCAGTTCCCGCGGCGTCGTCGGTTAAAAACTGAAAACAAAAGGTACTATTACATACACTAGCACTACTGAAATGTACACTTTTCCGTGTTAAGAAGATTATACTATAAGTATACTATGACACAAGACAGGTCGAAGAATGATTTGGCGGTTCAAAATATTGCCACGAAACGATTGTAGAATCTTTGGACTTATAATGCGATGTTCAAGGACATATGTTTGTCGACGAGTGATCGCCGAGAAAAAATACTCTTACACCGAGATGAATATAATTGCAGACAATATTTTCATACAAAAATGTTTTTTTTGTTTTAAATCTCAACTGAAGCCAATATCCAGAGAATCGGAGTAATGTCTATGAACAGTATAGCTTAAGGTTTTCATTTGCCCCCATGCTAATGTATAAAAGTCAGCGCCCATGGTCGGGTCTGTGTTGTTATAATATCATGTCGGCGAGCAGTGAACACCTCAAACTCACCAGTATCTGTAGCCAGCACACTTCGCAGTACACGTGCCAGCACGACGTCGACACGACGGGATCTTTGAAATTTCCCTGGAAAAGTGAAAAGTCGCTTTTAAGAACTGTCTTATATTGTACAGACGCGGAATCCGAATACGGGTCGTCCCTGTGGGAGGACGATGACGAGGGTTTCCCGATTTTCCCGTCCCAGGACGATTCAGTGGAGCCGCAATGAACGGAATTTGTATAACCACTGCGGATAGGGTTAGTAATGTGTTCAGGTTTTAGATGGTATTCTTATCAACAGTGTGTTACAATGCCTAATTCATCAGATATTAAAATATGCTTAAATATATTGTAATAATATTATTTACATACAAAAATGTCAAATTTCCTAGGTTTAAATTAAGATATTTGGGTACATTTTAAAATTATAGTCCAACGAATCACTTAGAGTATAATACTTCATTTGTTACGTATTAAAATAGTCAAGCAAACAAATATGTTTTATTTTAAACGAAATGTAATTGATTTATTATTTAGGACGGTGAAGTAATAGTTATGAATTTATGATTTATGAGCCTATACCGGACATATTAATAAATTCGTTATTATTTTACTAAATATTAAAATATATAAGTAAAAACCACCTCTTGTATTATTAATATTTATTTTAAAATAAAAATGCAAATATTTCATTATATTTTCATTACATTTTTAATGTTTATCATATTGGATATTCATTAAATATAAATTTACCTAACTCCATACCTAGTACTGTATGTATTATACTATAATATAAATAATAATTAAATATATTTTCATGAAAGTATTAACTAAATAGTAAAATATATTATTCAAGTAGGTAAATAAGTAATAATCTAGACAGAAATGTGTAGTATAAAAATATTATTATAAAATTACAATATTAGTATTATTTTTTGTTCGAAAATATAATAATATTTAACCATGGACAATATATTTATATAATATCTAGATATCTTTATCTAAATTTCTTATACATTATGATAACTAGGCAAATAATATCTAACACCTGAACACTTGACTCGCCCTATGTCGATTCAGTTAACCACATTGAATATGCATATTATAATATAGGTTTTGTAAAACTAATTTTGGAATGTACAAACTCCACCCACTGCACTGAGGGGAAAACTTGAATTGGGTCCGAGGTATTCTTTAATAATACTCGAATTGGGTCCACGGTATTATTTGATAATACTCGAATTGGGTCCACGGTAAATGTTTCAATGTTAGTAGTATGTATTTATATGTTCACAGTTTGTTTTTCCACTGTACATTTTTTTGTTCAAGCTGGAATGCTCCACTCGGAGGGCACAGATTTACCGTATCACACACTACGGAGATTACACACCCATTGTCCACCTATTTGTGCCTCACACAAAAATATTTACCGTGTTTTCACCAAATCGATCTTTTTTTTTTATCAGACGTAAAAAAAATGCTTATTGAATAATAATTTTAATATTTTAATAAATTTTACATAACAAAAAACAACATTTTTGGAAGACTTTCTAGTCAACCTCCAAGTGGTGTCATCCAAGTAACGCTAATTGGCTGGATTAAATTTATGTAGGTAGGTACTCGATAAAATATATTGGGACCCAATTCAAGTACTCGGTAAAATACGTCTGGACACAATTCGTGCTATTTTTGGGAGTAGGGACCCAACTCGATGTTATCCGCGCTGAAGGGTCAATAAACGCGAGTTATCCGATACCTATGGCCTTTTATGGTAGTTTGGAGAGGCGTGGAAGGCAGCGGGCTTTGCATTTGATAGGCATCAGTAATTTCGAGAAGTGGAACCGAATTATTGTCCATACGACGGTTGTCCACCGCATCAAGTAAAAAACGTCATATTATTGATACGGATATCGGAGGTTATACAGCCGATAGGGCCGTTAGTGTCATGAAAAGGATTTTTTCGGTATACTGTGGATGTACTTACTTTGCACAATAGACAAGTAAACTTATCGCTTCCGGTCTTGGACACCGACTCCAGTTCCCGGATCCGAGCTTTTAGCGCTTCGACGACCTGACCGTTGTTGTTGAACTGAGCGCAGTACTTGTCAACGTCCATTTTCGGTTTCACTGTCCCTTCGTCTTGTGTGTTTTCCTTCTTGATCGATACGTCCAGTGGCCCGACGTTTTCGCACGAGTCCATCGCCTCCATAGCGCTCGGATCGTTCAGCCTGAACACAAACCAACGATCACAATATTATTAATTATTACAATTATTACGATATTTTATGATTATAATTTATAGGCACGTTATTTTCGAGACGCGTCGTCACAAATGCGTACTCGTAACGCAATAATCTTATGCGTCATAACTATCAATTATTCCTTATTGCATAACACAATCATATTAAGTAGGTACCTCCATATATGTATATATAGGTACCACTTTGTGTACGGCTCTGCAGGCAAGATAATATAATATTATGTCATTACGACGATGTGCTGTACGGTTGGACGTGGCGGATTATGTACGAGTGATTGAGGGAGTTTTTGCTGAGGGTGGGCTCAGAGGGTAGAGCCTAATAGAACAGTATAGTTTAAAATAATAATAAAAAAAAAAAATCGGAAATAAGAACATAAAATCGGTTCAGTGATGACGCCACGCCGGGCAAAACACATTACAAGTCGGCGGGTGTCGGCGTGGTAGCTGTGTGAGAGGATGGCCAGATTTTAGTTGGGGGGGGGGGGGTGCAGGAGGAGTCAAGAATGGAAAAAAAAAAATAAAAAAAAACGAAAACCTAAACGGGCACTTGTTCGTTGGAGGTTTCGGGAAATTTCGAGCGACGACGCTTACTCGGCGGGTGTAAGTCGGCGGCTCTCCGAAGAAGCGGTAGGAGGACGTGAAGGGACGATTACGTCCCGTTCGGCGTACTGGTTAGGACCGTACTTGTTGTATAAGCTGCCGCTGCTACCGCCGTTTTCGTTGTCGTTGTCGTCGACCACCAACACCGCGTCTTCGGCACCACCGGCCGAGTCTTCACCACCGGTCGCCGACTGTCTGGGAGGCGGCTGCTGGGCCGGATTTCCGGGGCCTGTACAGTTGATCGCCAAGACTGCGGAACCTATACGTAAATAAAAGAAACGAACGCTGTTTAAGAAAAATTATTTTTTCAAGGAGAGGGTGTGTCACCCAATCATATAATAATTATTACATATAAATTATAATAAAGTTAAGGTTTTCAAAAAAAATTCCCCAATAAAAACAACCGCCCTAATAACGATCTTGGGGCGGAGATAGATCGCATAATAATCTGTGCAGGGCGATTCACCGAGCATTTCTCACCTACTCTCATAATAACGCAAATATAATATTTATTTAATGACTTTTGGAATTTTGAGGTATAACATAGTTGTTTAAGAACTTAAATATTTTATGATAATGGTATGAAAATTATAAGTTTTTATAATTATGATTCCTAAGTATGTTTATATTGGTAATTAAAAATTCTGATTTCAGTGAGTGTATGGTTAGAAAATCACCACGTGTTCTGCACGTAATAATTGAGGAATTAAAGTCATAATACGATCTAATTTTGATTTATTATGAACTTATACAATACAGTTATGAATGTGTGATTATATTAATAAAATAGGTAACTTTAAATATATATTACTTATATGTCGTAACACTAGTTGGTTATTCTGATTTCATCGATTTCGATTCGAATTAATGAAATATAATAATATGTACAATATACTAACGTACATTTATGAATAATAGCGTAATATAGGTATAAAATATCCATGTTGTGGGTCAGTATAGAAATCTTTACTGCAGAAAATAAGTGTAGAAATTGCCTATAAAAGAAATTGCCACGAAAATGCATACGGTGTCCTAAACTAATGGACAGTTTTATGTTTTAGAAATAAACCTACGTTTAGAGGGATGTATATGATTAGGTAATATTTTATTAAATTGTTTGATATTCAAAACCAAAATGGTGAATTGAAATTTGTTTTTAAAATAAATTAAGACAGATGTCGGTCGTGGCGACGATTTTTTTGACCTTACGTAATCGAGTTGACCACATTTCCATGTGAAATAGTTTGCATTTGAAGTAAAAAAAACATGACCATGGGACAGGAAAATTTCCTAATGTCCAAATTCTAGTTTAAAAAAAAAAATTCACCACTGTTTCACATAAATAATCATATATACTTATCACATACATTTAACTAGTATAAAATTGTCAACCACATGGGCCGTCTAGCTGATTATGTTTTTGTGAATAATTCATATTATATTTGATAGGAAAATTCAAGTAGCCATTAAAAAGAACAAATAAGTACAAAATATAATGTGGATAATTGTGTAGATATTATAATCACACGATCTATACGATATTTATTTTATGTTTCACCCCTAGAGCCTCCCCTTGTTTATACTGTTGTCGTCTATCCGTTGCTTTATTTTCTATGAATAAATTATCCAGAGGATTTCGCGTAAAACTGTGGTGGGTGGCTGGCAGGTCGTAGCTGCTAAGGTTTATGTTGTGGCAGTTAAGTGGTTTCTAAAAGCGATATCGTCACCGTCGCCAACCGATTTATATCTATAGTTGTAGAAATATTTTAAGTTAGCCTACGATATGATCTAGCTAGGATTTAGAATTTAATACGTTTATAAAACGGGATATAATTCTGCGGGATCTGCAAACACGTTCTACAAAAAAAGCATGATATTTATATTTCATTTTAAAATTTAATATCATCCTCGAATGTTGTTCGTGTTACGTAAAAATTAAATTCAGTTGTTATAATTAAAATGATTGTAAACAGGTAAAAAATGTTGGTATTTGATCATTCGTGTAGATTATTTGATTGTAAATATTTATTGATTTCATTTGCAGTCAATTTTTGACCAAAATAACAAAAAAAAAAATAAATATTTTTCTTGTCTCGTTTTGTAAACAATTTATTTCGGCCTTACATGCGGATATACAGCTTCAATCAAACATATCCTTACCGAATGTGGAGACACAAAAGAGGCCCGATAAAAACACAACATAACGGAACACCTTCACGACGCACTGGGCCCCGACGAAGAATCCATCAAAAATATAATTTGATTTATGAAAGACATTGAATCGTACAATTTAATTTAAATTATTTAAGAACATAATATTATCATGTAAAAAATAAGCCTATGGTGACGCTATCGAAGCTTTTTCTTAAATAATAAAAAAAAAATTATTTCGCAGATAATTTACAATTAGAATTCAGATTTAGATTATGATCAAATTACTTGATGCAATTGAGCTCAATATGTTGTATGGTTAATACAACCATTATATAAGCATATATAGACAACTTATGTCAAATATAAATAAGAATACAACTAATTGTAAGTACTTATCGAAGATTTATAAATTATCTAATTGATTTGACCATTTGTGTTAATGTAGCATATTATATGAAACCGTAAAAAAGAACGTATTTAAAATTAATTAAATGTAATATTACATTAAACTTTTTGTTAAAACCAAAAGAACGATATAATAATTCAAAGCATCATTTTTAATAGTAAAAAAAAAAAAATAACAAATATAATGAGCGTACAATAGGTAGAATGTAAAGGCGTTTCAAGGAAGAATTGCCGATCAATTACAAAATATTAATTCTTCCTTAAATGGTACACGTGCGTGTTAAAGTAAGCCTGTTTAATATAAGTTGTACACACATAATAATTGTTACGATTTTTAAATAACAACCAAGGGGTGGACTTAACCTTAATACGGAACTGTTTAATTCTTATATACGACTGTTAACACAGAGAGGGGAGAGAGAGACCGAGACAGAGAGACAGAGAGATAGATAGAGAGAGAGATATGAGAGAAATTATGGAAAAACTTATAGCATGAGTCTGAAAACACTGATCGGGTCTTACCTCTGTTGTATCCGCCTGCGTGCATTAGCATCGGTTGCTGTCTCATCCTGTTGTGCGGTTGTTGGCCGTGCCATCCGCTACTTCCGCCTCCGTACACGATGTCGTACATCGTCGTCTCGGCGTCGCCTTCCACGTCCACGTTTTCGTCTTCGTCGTCGTTACCCGCGGTCGCCACTGCTGGATGTCCCTGGAAAATAGAGTGGGCGTGCCGAACATATAAGTAAAAACGTCCGGGAAAACCGCTGAAGCGAATTACCGTGGTAACTAGGTTTAATATGGTACCAGAAATATGGTTGAAAATAAGACTGGACGGTAAGCGGGATTGGGTGACCGAGTGTTGGACATTTGTTAAATTTGCCGCACGGAATTCAAAAACGATGCCGAACACGATTACCTCAATATTTGTGTGAGTCGTATGACGTTTTGTCTTTAAGTAGGACGTATTACATAAATTAAATTCATTGTATTCACCTACGCTTTCCAACTGAGTGTCGTTTCGAATTCACATCAAGGCATAACGCAGCCTTATAGATGTCTACAGAGAGGTAAACGTTTGTCAAATCTCTAATTCTCTAACGACAATTTAATCAACGTCATCTTTTCTTTTTTTAAATAATTAATAACTTTAAAACAATATTGAATACCTATAATAATAATATTTAGTACCAATGTAAGTATAAATAATTAATATTGGTGTTGGTATTGCAGCATCAAACTTTTTGGTTTTTGAAGTTGAAATTGTAAACTGGACTAAAATAAATCCCGGAAAAACAATAATGTTTAGGAAATAAATAACCTCTAGTCATCGGGACTTACGATTTAATACATATTTGATTTGTGATCACTTTCCGGACCGGCAAGTTCTCAGGTCACTACTCACAAACAACAAGTGAACAATATAATATTTTTACGTACTTTGTTCCTCAGGCACATTTCCACGTGAGCGTTCATCTGCTCCTGGGTGGCCGCGGCCACGGGCTCGCTGCAAACGGGACAGCAGCAGGTCGCCGTTGTTGGCGTCAGCAGCATCTCGTCGGGTTTCCGTTTCCGATTTTTGATCCTCAACCGGTTGTGTCGATTGGCCTTGACTTTTTGATATGTCTGTATGGATTGAAACGATAATAAGTAAGAATAATAATAGTTATATTATTGTCAGAGGCATAGCGCCATTCTACGCACTCATATTAAATGATATAATTAATTAGAAGTCGAAGGGAGGCAGATAGCAAATCACCGGTAACCATTCCGACGACGAGGCTCTAAAACGGATTTTAGCGGTTTCAAATTTTAAATTTGGTGACAGGAGAGATGGAGGAGGTTAGCTAAGCAGAAGATCAATAAAATATTTTTAACGGGATCTTTGACATGCGCGCATTTAATAACACGATTATGATGAGTAATATTAACCTAAAAAACCGAACCGATTAATTTGAGATTTTGAGAGAATGTAGCCATGCCATTACTACATTATGTGTTTAGGTACATTGAGAAACGATTTTGTGAGATTCGTGTTTTTACGAAGAACAAATATTTTTTTTTGTGAATATAGATTATTGAATAGGTACAGAAAATAAATTTGTCATTGTGATTGAATATGATTTCAGACAAGCCGTATTTTATAATTTGGTCGAAACCGCCACAATCACTGTGTTAAAAATCTGAGGAGTTTATGTTTAGAGTAATTTAAGGAGGGGGCAAGTCCACGGGAATTTTAGTCACGGGAAGCTCCGTGCAGGATCAGCCACATATTAAATTATATTAGTTGTATGCTTAAAATTATGATATAATACAATGCAATAATGACGTAGTACACGTACCTCCCATCGGCCGTGCAGCGTCGCGTCTCTGCTGCTGCCGCCGGCGACTGGCGACAATCGGCCGCCGTCTCTGGGGCATACCATGAGACCGTGCATGTGGTGGCTGTCGCCCAACTTGTCGGGCGTGCCTCTCCGGTGCCGGCGTCCTGCCGCTGCCGCCTGCTTGTACAGCCGTTCCAGTTCCCATATAAAGTGCGACTCGAGCTCGTGGGCCGTGCGGAGCGCCGTGCCGCACACGGGACAGCAACCGGCCGCGGCCGCGGACATCAGCTGTTGGCCGCTTGCCGATGATTGCTGCTGCTGCTGCTGCTGCTGCTGCTGTTGCTGCTTGATCGACGACCCGTTGTTGTTGTTATTGTTGTGGTTGTTGTTGTTGTTGACCCCGGCCGTCGTCGCGGTGGCCGTCGTGGAGCCACTCCCGTTGGCCGCCGGCGTCGTCGTCGGAGCCGTCGTCATGGGCGGCGACAGTTTTTTCCCTGCGGAGCACCCAAAAATATCGTTAAAATCGAAATACGGCGGTCTGGCCGCGGTGGCCGGCAACACCCGCAGCGGTTGCGGCTGCGGTTGCGGCTGTTGCGGCTGCTGCTGTCGAGAGCTAGTGAAATCGGTCATCGCGCGGCGGACACTGACGGCGACTAACTGACTCTGGACGCGCGCCGACGACAATACGCGGTAACGCGGTAACGCGCGCACGCACGCACGCATGCCACACACCCTCCGTCACCCCAACCCTCATCGCGCACAACCCTCTGACGACGACGATCGTATCTACAGAGTGCTTGTCGGCGTGTGCACAGCGGCAGATCAGTCGCCGCAGGGGTGGAGACCCAAATGTATATCACAAGTACCTATACATAGTATTATATATACCTATCTATTACTGTTCTAGATCGCCACCAGAACAATAACCCGTCCGTCGTGTCATATTGTGTGTCGTATATTGTGCGTTTGAAGGGGTGCGCAAACGGCGCAAATATTATATGGTAATATCCAACGGCTATGTGGAACCATTCGAAAAGGCCCAATATCCAGTAGGTATACAATTTAAAATTGTATTTCATATTATAATTATCTGTTTATATGTCAGCGATTTCGTATTCTACTGCAACGGAGACGCGCCCGACCGTGCGGACAAGAGATTTCAACGCACTGTATATTATAAAGGTGCGTATCTATGACCGCTCTGCAGTGTAACCCGCCCTGTATAGGCATACATACGGCGACGATATACATGTGTTACGAGGACGGGCATTAAACGCTCTGGACGACACTGTACGTATATCATGTGCTCGCGACAATGCGCCCGCGGCGACCTAACCTACCTCACCGCCGCCCCCTCGCCGCCACTACCCCCCTCGCGGCGGATCGTCGGCGGTGCCAGTGGTCCCGTCGGAAAGTCACACAGCGTCATCCCCATTGTTGTCCGCCGTCAAACTCCATCCTGGGTTTTTATCTTCCCCCCGTCGTGTATACGCGCGCGATTATCGTCCTGTATAATATAATATATAATATAATAATATCATATTATACTATTATATACACCATATTATTATAATAACGCACACACACTCTTACGCGCGTTTGGCCGCGTGTATTATAGAACGCGCGCATATATACACGTGCATATATATAGTACCTTTTATGTACATAATTTATCATATATATGCATATGGGTAAGTCGTAGAATACGTATTTTTACAAACGCACGCACACAATCATTTTTATAAGAAATGAATGACTACAAAGGACGATCCCGAAGTGTATACGGTAGACACACGCACACACACACACACACACACACACACACGCGAGCACATATATATATATATCCGACGGGTTGTATAAAGGAGGACAATGCCCGCGGGCATATTCGGCGCGAGAGGAAATTCCGTCGTCGCCGCCGAAACCTCGTCCCAGCCGGTGTGACGCCAACCGACCAGGTGTCATACCTTTATACTGTGTACCGTGTTATATACATATATATATTTATCGTAAATTGGAATTGTGTATATATAATAATATAGTGTTGCCAATGTACATAATGTATAGTTATAGTAGGCCATCGGAAGCAGGTACCCGGCGGAACTTCGGTTCGGCTTCGTTCCACGGCACGAAAACTGCACTGATTTTTTATTATATGGACGATTGTTAACTGAGTTAACTTAACTCGGATCGAAGGAAAACAAAGTTCAAAACGTATATTGTAAACTCCACCCTGTTGTTTCAGATAAAAATTATTGACGTATTATAAACTCGGCCTGAATAAAAATAAAATCCTTATATTTAATTCATAATTGATCTTATAATATTTTTGAGATCCATAAAATATAGGCATAACCCAGAGGACACCGCGAGAAGGCATTCTCGTTTTATTTTCAAGTTCATGTTAAAAGAGTATGCAAATTCGTTATAGCAGAATTAAATCATATAATAATATTCGTTTTATATGCTATTTATTATTTTTTTAGATTGAATTATATCATACTTATCATGTTTTATTGTTGGAAATTATCGAGTCGAGTTTTGCAATCGACCTTTTTCATTGCCTAAGTCTTCCCGGCCGAGTTAACAACAGAAAAAGTAATCGCGGTCCACATTTGATCTTTTATATTGCACCGGGGCAGTTGTAAAAATATTGTCTCAGCGGTCGTCGGGATGCGCAAACTTCGCACAGGACCCACCCATCCACCCACCCACGACGGGCCGCCGCTCCGACACATTCCGAAAAGGGATTATTACTTTCGTGGTCCACTGGAAAACTGAACTCGCACTACGTATAATATAGGTACCTATTATATTACAAAATGTCAATATATCGTATCACATACAATGTATTATTATAATATGACGTATGCACCTGCACGTGGGCACATGTGGAGCGAGCACCTATAAGGTCGCGGTGTGTGAGTCGTGATGAAAATATAAAACATAATGAAAAAACGACGGACGTGAAATGTTTAAAAATGTGAGACGATGGCAGTGGCACGATTGAGAATATCATATTGTGATAGTACGTAGGTATTCAGCTCTGTTGCAAACAATTCAATATACATTTGGTCAGACTGTACACTCGCGAAAATACTAGACGCTTTACTCTCTGTTTTTTCGGTTGAGGACAAACACTCTTAACATTTAACACTGTGATATATTTTTTAAGGGCCAACTGTACAATGATCTTATATATAAAATATTAAAATAATGTGCTATACTGCTATATCACTTGTCTATGTATTTTTCTACTTAAGCGAACATTGTTGTGGTATTAAAATACAATTGAATTCAAAAGCGAGTCCTCACAAATATTTTTATGGTATTTATATGAAATTCCCATAAATGTATTACCTATATAGTCAGGGTAGATATGATAGATTAGATTACTTGACTTTTTTTTTTGAATATTATCGATTTTGTAAAGCCTCCGAATTAGCAGATAATCGGTTCACCCCCTGCGTGTCTCGATATAAAAATGTGTCACTAAAATAGTGTATGATATCGAATAGTAGGTGTATACTATAATATAAAGTAGTAAATAGGTACAGACGATGCTATTTTAAATACGTTTGCTAACAGGGGAAGAGTTAGGCGCCTTTGCCTTATTCTACTTATTATTTATATGTTTGTTTAGTCATACACATTTTTTGGATAAAGTATTATAATATAATACATGAGGAAACATTTTTCTGATATTTAATGCTTAATGGTATTTATATTTATATAATTTCATCAGCCCCATAAGGCACCTGGAATATATATATATATATACTATATAGGTACACGTCTGAACTCAATAACTTTTATTAAAGCGTATATTATTAATATTATTCTTTAACTACTAAACGTCTCGAAACATTGAAAAAACAATCGTGTGCGCCGAAAAACGTCACCCAAAAAAGTGATCCGAACATAGCTATTAATATTTTGCCCTCGTGGAGTAAACAACGAGGAGTTCCTCGTATAGGCGCACGACGTGGATTTGCTACTATCGGAATTCGGAATATTATACAGCTTAAAATTTCACTCACAACCTTTTTCCGTCAACAATGACGTGACTCGATGATTTCTTTCTCCAATTTGTCGTCGTTTTGTACATTTCATACCTAGTTATATTATACCCAAAGAACGTTCGTTAGAAATACGGCGGTACACGCACGGCGCGGCGTGGTGACTGTAACAATATTATCGCATTATCATCATGTTCGTTATACATACTGTAATATATTATTAAGTGCGTATATTATGGGAATAGATTGGCGGTGTGTATATTCTATTGGGTCGTATCTGGTCGTATGTTGAATGAATCACTGGTCGGTTGGATCGTTATTTGAAAAATTGTCAAATCCTGCGCATACACCCTGTAGACGGAACCGGTCGCCGGGCATATTATAATAATATATATGATAATCGCCGCCCGTACAGCTCGCACCCCGTCGCAGAGTCGTCGAAACGCACGCGCGCGAACACGTAGATAATAATATATTTACCAGCGGGCAAAGGTGTTTTGTGCGTTAACGAGGGGGGTTGTCGCTGCAGTGACACTAATGTTCGAACGACCTTTTCGATCGGGCCCATCGTACAATGGCCTACACGACTCGGCCCGCTATGTCACACCGACTAGTCGGGTCTAAACGCGGTATTGCAGGGGAGTGTTTTATTTTTTTCGAGTAGTAAATCTCATTTGTCGCCGCAGTTTCACATACGTGCACACGATTCTATTTAACTCACACACACACACACACACACACACACACACACACACACACGTAAGCGTAATGATATAGGTATATCTAAGTACGTAACATCGTATTAGGCGGGCACGGATGTAAGGCATAAGGGTAGTGTCCCCCAATACATTATGCGAATCAACCCTCCCATTTCCCAACCAGTTTTCGGTTTAACAATTTATTTCTAGTTAAGTACTATAGCGTCCTTGCCTCGTGGACTTACCCTTAAAAGGAAGACGCGAAATATTGAAAAGTCAATGTTATACAGTAGGATACGCTCGGGTATATTAAGTCCACGGGGGCATTTTAAAATGTTCAACAATTGTATTGGACTATGGAACCCCTCCAAAAATCAAATCCCGAGTCCACTTACATAATATTATCAACCGACAATATTATGTACAATCCAAACTTAAGTATATATATTACGCACGCGTTATAACAATACGGTTCAGTGTTGACATATATTAAAACTTATTAAATATAAAGTATTACTTAGTCAGTAAGTAGTCCAAGCAGATGAGTGAGTGGTAAAGCGCTGGGTTTTTGCTAACGACGTCGTGATGATTTTTAATACAAAATAGCTCAACTTGTATACTTTGCATAGATAACATGGTACCGAATTGTTGTTACTTGCGTATATAGGTAAACGGAACACGAAACATTGAAAATCATGCTTAGATTGTGCATAAATAAAAAACATTTATGTAATTTATAAATAGTGTAATTTAGTATACATAGGTACATCATACGGA